GCAGCGACTGGCCTGCTGAACACCAAAGTCACTATACACCTCTTCCTAACAACTACTAGGGGCGTTGTAGGAAGCTGTGGAGGCACCGGCTGCCACTCTTTAAAGCTATGCTTTTAAGGTGGCATAGAATCAGAACATAAAAAACCATTACTATGAAGGCCTCCGAGCTCAAAATGCCACTGGTGCTCACGTGTGCGATCTCTGCGGCCACTTCATTCGAAAGTCGCTCCCAAGGAACAAATTGAGCTAGAGGCTTCACAGCGCTGCTGCGAACGTGTCCTAATTTAGGTTCCAGACACCCTTTAAACTCCCCTGTAGACTCCATACTCGCACATTCGCGACGCTGTTTGCAACTCTTCAGTCACATGCTCAGCAAAGTCTTTTCAAGCCACGCCGCTGCAACTGGTGACAAGCTTTCGCTTTATTTCTGTCAAGAGAAGTCCCTACAGGGCTATTCATGGCGCTTAACATCGTAAAGTCAATACTTTTGCTGGTTGAAACAACTAAGGGATTGTGGCGCTAGCTCTCAAGTGGAAGCCTGCAGGCGACGAACATGAGAAAGCACCAACACCCCGGAAAGGGGAACTTGCAATTTTCATCTGAGTTTGACTTCGATTTACACCTAGCCTCTAGGGACCCGCCTGGACAGAAATGAAGCGAAAACCTGTCATCAGTTGCGGCGTGTGTGTGTCTGTCAGAAAGAAGGCAGCAAAAAGATGCGATTTCCGAAGATGCAAAGCAACAAGGTAGATCATATGCACTGCTGCTCGCAGGAGCTTCACGCACAGCCAAGCACAAGGCTTCAAGATTACAATGTGCAGTTTCACGTTGCTTCCGAAGCACTCGAGAGCATTTTCGGTTCACTTCTACAAAAAACACTTCCAGGAAAACGTAGCATGATAAATATGTGAAGGCGTTACGAGCCGTTGCCGGCATGGACTAGCGTGCAACTGCTCCCAAACAAGCGCAGCAGCACCTGCGTGCCTCTGAATCGCACACTAGTACTTGAGGGAGACTAGAGTTGAGCTCACAGGCAGAGAAAGGCTCTGCTGCTTTCGTAATATACATATTGTTGGGGACACGGGGAGCTACTGTTCATGTCACGGAGCGTTCACAAATAGGCCCGTTTTGTGGGTTGTGTTTAGTCAGGCAGCGCCTGCGGGAAAGAACTTCGTTTAGCAGTGCTCCAGGCACACAAAGAAGGAACTAGTGCAGAGCTTTTGATCGGGAATCTCGACACCACTCAAGTCGAGCTGAGCAGCACTACCGCAGACTTTGAGAACGTGCTTATCAGCCGATTCCGTTGCTCGGGTAAGCACCGGAGCCCATAAACATCTTTTTTATTCCATGCATCGTCAGCTCCCGCCACCCCTACCCCTATTTCTCGCAAGTAGAGCAGCAAACAGCACAGCTAAGCTAGTGTTTAGGGTTTAGGGTTTGCAGCTATTGTTGAAAGCGCCACCAGAGGCGAATCGTCAGCTACTGCACCGGCAGCTGCATCGACCTTACGTAGAAATTGATTTCTCAGCTTCAAGTCTACAGCTTTGACTGATTGTATTGAGTTGCTTTTGAATGTAGAGAGCCCTTTCAATTCCTCCGAGTGTTTTCTGCCTCTGGCCTGACCCGATCTTTCCCATGATAGCGTTACCAACTAGTTCCTCGAGACCACCATTGCCTATTGCTTTGCATTCTTTGGGGATCGTTAGTTTGGTGTCTTTGTTGGCTAGTTCGGCATTACCTGCAGCAGGCGCCTAAAATTCGGCCCTGGCGGATAGGCCTCTCTCTTTCCTCTAATTTTAGGGTACTCTTGCGTTGCGGAGTACCGATTATCTCGTAACATTCAAAAGTGTATTTAAAGTTCTGCTACTGAACGCCCAAGCTCTACACGATTCAGAGACAGTAGCAGTTTACTCTACACCGGCAACCCTAAAGTGACCTGAAGTGCTGTACCGTGTCCCAAGAGATTGCGCAATGCACACTGAAATGCATTACAATGAAGTGCCCACTTCGTCGATGTTAAGACAAAAAGACCGCATCTCCATGCAAAATAAAAACTGTAGTTATGGACGGCCATGACTAACACAGGGTTCATGCACTGGGACAGCCGACGCTCACCTTCAGCTGAATACGGGCCAGCCTCAAGACTGAGTCACAAAAGTTTCAAAAATACCGCACGAAGATAATATTTCGTAGGACAGAACAACCCGAAAGGGCTGCGTTTGTGGCTGGTTGGCTGCATGTCTGGCCAGTCACTCGAGTGCATGCACATAGCGAGTGTGAGAGCGTGTCTGCGATCTGTGACGGTAATAATCCTCTTTTGCAGTCAATTCCTATTTTATACAGCCGCTATGCGGCAACGGATTGCTCCACTACTGCTCGCAGCACCGCTCGTCTTTGTCCCAGCGAAGACTGCCAGGCACACCCGTCCGTCAACTATTCGGCACTGATCGAGCTCCAAGGGACCTGGCACAAGGTCTGTCTTTCCACACGATTTCAGTTACAGGTCACATAAACTCTACCCTGGCATTTTAGTTGCCACACATGTCGCCACAAAACGAGGGTTTTGTTCGCCAGCTTGTGCTAACTCGCTTTGCCATTCGCCTACATTTTGCGGTGACAAACCTCCACGACAGCAGCCTGTAGCTGCTGGCCAGAAGGGGCACGGTTCACTGTGGGTCTTTATTCATCAGAAGGCAGTAAACTCAGCCGATTGGACGCGAAGATCATTGTGACTGAATGCAGCCGTCTTGCATGTTTGGTGAGACTCAGGCCTTCCTGGGAGAAGCACTCAAGACGCCACCGCACCTGCACCTATCTGTAGAATGTCGAGACGCTACGACTCGCGTACAACCACATTTTCCCCCGAAGGGAGGTTGTACCAGGTGGAGTACGCTCTAGAGGCAATCAACAATGCCTCTTCAACGTTAGGCATCCTCGCCAAGGATGGCGTTGTCCTAGCTGCTGACAAGATGGTCACTTCCAAGCTCCTTGATCACGGAAGGTCTAAGGAGAAGCTGTACAAGGTAGTGTGCACAACCAGGCGTACAGGACCTCCACATGCGCCTGTCGGCGTTTCTAAGCCACTTTTGCGTGTCATTTTGCATTTCATGTAGCAAGCTCAATTTAGAATTGCGTTAATATACTTGCGGAGCAGCTGCACTACTAGGAAAGATGAACAGGATTGGTTTCGTGGGCTTTGCTGCAGTCGCTGCAGTGGTTTCTGAAGGCAACACACGTCTGAACTGCCTTTTGGCCGCTTCAGGTGGACAACCACGTGATGTGCGCAGTGGCGGGCCTGACGGCTGATGCGAATATTCTCATTAATCAGGCAAGAGTCAACGCGCAGCGCTTTCTGTATCACTACGGAGAGCCGCAGCCAATAGAGCAGCTGGTGGTGCAGCTGTGCGACATCAAGCAAGTACGTAGCATCGTAGCACCATTCTTCCCACTTGGGCATATTTTCGTGTCCGTTTCCTTCTTTTCTACAGTCGTAGCCAATTATATCTCTCTATTTCGGAACAACGGCGCCTAGAGTGGAATCCTTTGGCGAGGAGGGCATCGGGGCTATAAGAAAAATGCAAAAATTCGAATACTTGTGTTCAGTCCTACACACAATTCGGCGGTCTACGCCCATTCGGCGTGAGCTTTCTCTTTGCCGGCTGGGACAAGCACCACGGCTTCCAGTTGTATCACACGGACCCCTCGGGCAACTACTCGGGGTGGAAGGCCACAGCCATCGGGGTGAACAACCAGTCTGCGCAAACCATCCTAAAGCAGGTGAGCACGACGGCCCTTCTACGGCTTTTTTGCTGCGACGCCCCTACAAAACAGCTTGCTTGGTTGCCTTCCTGGCTGGTGTGCTACAAAAGAATGGGAAAACAACCCTCTGTGACGATGTCTGAGTTCCTACGTGCGCCGAATAGTTGCAGTTTTTGCGACTACTGGCGTTTTGGCTAACTAGCAGTTCCTGTTGTGCTGATGGGCTTGACGCAGGAGCTGCGAGACGATATGGACGTCGCAGCAGCTCTTGATTTAGCAGCCAAAGTGCTCAACAAAACTATGGATACCGCGGCGCCCAGTGCAGACAAGCTCGAGATTGCAGTTTTGCAATTCGACCCAAAGAACCCCACTGCTCTTGAGCAGCGGTCTCTGCCCACAAAGGAAGTTGAAGTTCTAATGAAAAGAGCGCAGGAGCAGCAGGCAGAGGCGCAGTAGAGCGTGCTGAACAAGACGTGATCTGGTGACCCGGCAGTGTTGTTCACTTCCACTGATGCAGCGCGAAGAAATAAAGTCCCAGGTGTTCGCAGACTTCCCCAGAAGTGGCGCATACTTCTGTACAAATGCCCGGACCAGCTTATGCACTGCTTATTTCTCGAGAAGTGCCACATACTGCGGTCGGCAGGCTTGACCGTGACGCATGCACTCGCACTAGTTGATGGTTTTCCTACACAGACTACATGCCATTACATTTCAATGTTGGTCTGTCTAGCTTGGTCAAGCGCTAGTTCCGGTGTTTGAAACTGAATCTCCTGGAGGAAACGAATCTTTCCGTGAAACCCTACTCGACTTCTGATTGTTGTACCAAATAGCTCCTACTGACTATATTAAATTACATTAAATAGTGCCACATCTGAAGGCTCTTTGACGAAACGCGATGAACTGTTCGTGTCAGTGAACGCGCACCAGATTGGCAAGTTGCAAGTCAACTGTTCGTCACATGTTGCTGACTGAATACCGGCGTCGAGCCAGCATCAAGCTGCACTTAAATGGTTTCACACCGCAGAGGGATGCGCGTGGGGAGCCGAGGCAGTCACACGCACTGACCAAACCTCTCCTCAAAGGAGTGCGCAGCAACCCTGATCACATGTAACTCTGGAGCACCCCTGGGCTGCCGCTAGTCCAAGTTAAGTCGCGTAGTCCAGAGCCCCCCGCAGCCTCCACCAGCTCTTGTCTGCTTCTACACTATGCAAGTAACGAACTCGACCGGCACAGTGAAGCCTTCAAAGCGCACTGACAGCCGCCCGGACTGTACCGCGGCTGACAACTCCCTGGCAGTTGTCTGACGCCTCTGCAAATGGCCGCACAGTCCATGCTGGTGCTTCGCACGCGCGGCTAATCACGTTGCTGCGGTCTGCGTCGTTCAAAAGCAGCGACTCCTGCTTTCTGCATGCGTCTTCTTGGCCCGCGGCCCCCTGCTGGTCGCCAGCTGTTCCACACGAGTCAGGAACAGGCTCGCGACGCTCCTGTCCATCTTCTGCAACTTCTTGCACATCAGGGCACCGCGCTTTCAACTCTCTATCCGAAAGTCGTGTGCAGTTTGCACATTCCAGCTGCTGCACGGGCTGTCTTGGGGCGGAGGATACAAATGCATCAACACCCTGACGGGCCTCACGAAACGGGGTGTCTTTGCACCCGAGCTGTTCGTGGCATTCGTCAGCAGAAGGCACCGGTGTGCAATCGCAATTGCTTTTGTCTGAAGGAGATGGAACAGTGGAGTCCTGGAGTGAACGAGGAGTGCCCGTTCGCGAGTTGGTCCCATCTGCCTCAGTCCTGGAGTCCTCGCAGGTCCTCCCGGCTGCTGTCGATTGCACCTCTTCAGTAGCAGTCTCTTTCTCGACACTGACAGCTCGCTCGCCTTCAGCAGAGTCTTCGGGAGATGAGCTGCTGCCGAGGGAAGAAAAAGAGCTGCTTGGGGCTGTCTTCGTGTTCGTCTCCAGACACAAATGCCCTTTCCCCGTGTCAGCGGCCGGGAAAGCTGCACTCGGGACAGGAGGCCGAGCAGGGCCAATTAGCCGCGCCACTTTGGGCTGCGGCTGTTTACTAGGCAAGGAATAAGACACCACCCTCTTGCGAGTCGATGAAGCAGGAGGCACCCATCCTCCTTGAGCCGGCCGGTGCTCCATATTAAGATAACGCGGCTCTTTTTTCACGCATTCGTGAAGACTGGCGAGTTGAGCGCGAAATGACTCATTTGGCCTCGCCAGGGGGTTTCGGCGACGGACGAAGGCAAGCGCCTCGTCCGAAGACATGTCCTCATACTTTATCAAGTAAGAGCAAATGAACGCAACAGACCGCGAAACTCCCTGGCTGCAATGAATCAGAAGGTTGCCGTCCTCTCGCGTGCGGCAAGTTTCCATAAACTCCCACACATTCTGGAAGTACGGTTGTAACGTCTCGGCTTGGGTGTCAAAGATCGGAACCCGCAAGTACCTGAAGGCAAGGCGAGAGCCTCGAGTGAGGCGCTCGTGAAAGTTTGGCACGCCGCCTTCGCCACAAGGCGGGGTGCAGTTAATTATATACACGATCTTCTGTCGTCTCAGCAGCTTCTCGTTCCGAGCGACTTTCTTGTCGCCCCAGAAAAGCCATGGAAAGCGAACGGAATCAAGTGGCTCCAGATCGCAAGAATTGTCGTGAGCCTCCATTTCCCCACCAAAGAGGTAGAGACGCACCAGCTAGCCACCGAACTGGAGCGAAGCTGAAAGCGCACGCCCTTACTTCACCCAAAATTCCATAAGCGACGCGATTGAGTGGCCGAAGGTGCTGGTGATCGGTGATCTGCAGTGCAGGAAAGACTGACTTCGAATAAATAACCCAGTGAGACCACCAAAAAAAGTGGTTCCGGACGCACGGCTACAGAGTGGCCTTTCAAGGACCACTGTAGGCCGGCGCAGAGATCCGAAAATCACTCCCTCCACCAAGCCGTTGAAGATTGTGCCGAAGAGCGTCGCTGAACAACCGCGCCTTTCAAAGAAGACTTTGATTTTGATTAGAAAAAGAAACGATAAAATTCCCGGTATTTGAAAGAACTGTTCTGCACTGGGCTGCGTGGAGTCACGAGCTCCGTCGGTGTGACGGCCAGCTGGCACGGTGGCTTGCATGCCACTAGCGCCCCATCCGACGCCACCCACCAAAACTCCCGCGTATGGTGATCTTCTCTAAAGGCAAGAGTAAATTGACTCCCTGAATATGACGAAAACAAGTCTACAATGGAGAAGGTGGAGGAGCTCCACTGGCACCCCGTCGAACGCGACCCGGTAAAACTCCAGCGTCTTGTGGTCTCCTCTGAAGGCGAGAGTAAACTGATTCGCTCAAAACGAAGAAAAACACTCTTCAATGGAGAAGATGAAGCAGCTGGGCTCCCGCTTCACGAAAAGCTCGTGCGTGACTGTAACGGTATGACCGGACGTGTTGAAAAAATGGCGGCCCAGAGGCCATACGCAATCCCCTCTGTTTTTATATACTAGCCAAGAAAGGCATTCAATTTTTCACGCATTACCTCTGAAAGACAGTTAGCGACGTTCCCTTCAAAGCAGGCAGGGAACAGTTACCGGTGCAATAGGGGCCAAGAAAGGGCTGAAGCCAGCCCCAAGTTCCGGTATCTTCCACTGCAGCCTCAACAAAGCTGGCACTATTTAACACAATTGAACTGAAAATCACACACTTAACTTCACTTCCTATCACGTTGAACACAAAGATTTCGAAAAAACTGCAGTAGAGTTAACAGCAATCTCGCCGCTCAGGCCCACAATGTAGGATTCTGTAGACATGCTTGAATGCATGGCGCGCACTTTCTCTGTCACAAGACGAGATTTTCGAACTTTATATCTGCCTCTGAGGCTCACGACGACTGGAGCAGCGCCCACGTCGACGGTAGAGGGTGTTCAATAATTGAATGGTGTGCGCTTCTCTTCTGCGTCCAGTCCCGAGCTGCCCACAAAGGCACCACTTGTAGTTCTCTAAGTCTCACTGCGTGTACATTATTAATAAAATCTTCAGGCGATTACAATTGTTTACTACGCTACTAGGCCACCTGAGGTCCTACGGGTCGCAGCAAGAGGAACAGAACAGAATTATAGCCCTGTAGAGACCTTCGTCTCTCTGATATGGGATTCTCAGTAGGTTGATACCCCGCTTAGGAAATACCATCGAAAGAGTTCACGGACACGGCGGGGGCCACGCATTTCAGTAGGATGGATAGCGCTCAAGAAGCCACAGTCGAAATCGAACATTGGTGAGGAGCGAATGAGCACTTAGGCGCTAGATTGAAGCAGTGACTTTTAAAATGATTACTGCCTGCTGGAGATAGAGAGGCAACGTACTGCAACGACTGGAATGCACTTGACTGCTGGAATTTTCTCTCAGCATCGGGTGTGAGGGTCACCAAACTTATACACGCCACACAGAGAACAAATACCAGGACTATGCATCCAAAGGTAGGTCTTTTTCTCTTGAGGACTTGATGCAGTAGAGAGCGTTTTCGGGTCAGCGCGGCAGCGGACGTTCTACCATCCAATCAAAAACGCAAATTGCAAATCACCAGCCGATTCTCCTGCTTGAACTGCACCCTCAGAGGCACGAGTTGGACTTTCCATGAACACAGCTCCCATTTAAGAGTCTATCGCCGAAAGCGCAGAGCCACGTTTTTTTGCCAATGCTCTGCTGCAGTTGGTCAGAGCATTTCCGAAAATGTCTCGTCAGACATGCAGGTTCTTGTGAGACTCCCTTTATCAACGCAGTGCTACGACGCTTTAGAGCCACAGTAGCTTGTACCTGAATCGATGGCTGGCCGACTCACGGATCTGCTTGCTAGGTTGCAGCTGGAACTGCATTTTAAAGCATTCTTTCGTTTTAAGTGTTCTAAGTGCTCCTTTCGTATGTCTTTAGGTAAATCCCCAACCCAATTTGGGGCGGCATCGCGATGTAGTTCTCATAAGAGACCCGTATAGCAACATCCATTGTCCGTTTCCGGAATTTTTCCGAAAGCAATCCAGAAAATACATGAGTTGCTTTCTGGAGCACTGGAAGGAGAGACAAAGAGAATGGAGTTATTTTTTGTTTAGTCTAGCTGTTGTCGTGCCGTTTGCATGCAACACAGTTCAAGTAGTTTAAGTCGCAGCGCAGGTTGCTCTACGCTTGACTTCTTGCAGATAATGCCATAGATGCAGCGGGGAGGGTCACATGCAGATTCCGCTATCCAAGACTGGGTGCTTTCGAAGTCTTCCTGCGAATCCCGTCAATGAACAGAAAAATTGTACGGCATTGTACATTGTTCAAGAACAGCGGAGACCCTGTTTATTTGTCTGCATTTTGATAGCAGTGACAGGTAACGTATGCGTGGTTCCGTACACACGGCTTGTAAGTGGAGGGGAGGCTTTTCATGTTGCGCTGTTGGGTCTTCCTGCAGCAAATTTTTTCCAAGTTAACATGCGGCAAATGGCCAACTCCGGACGCTGTCGCAAAGCGTATTCAACGAGCTCTGCAACAGCCATCCACCTTTTTAGATGATGGGCCTCTTGCCCCTCTTAAAGTAGCCGGGCCTTTGTCACAACCAGCTTCACAATATCGCCCTGAGAGCGCAGTATGGAAATGTTTACCGTCGACCCCACAGAAATATGCGCGACGGCAGCTCTTTCAGCTCGCCTGCTAAGTTGCATTTTAAGCAAAATCAGATCATCGACTGGATACTTGTTTAAGTTGTACTGTTGAATGCCCTGCTGACAGGCCTCTTCTCACCATACATCAGCATCTGGTCTTGTTGGAAATGTAAAGCAGCATCGCATTTCAAAAGAGAGTAAGACGGATGCCAGTTTCAATTATCTTTCAGACGCCGGAGAAAGGGGTGTTTCAGAAACTCTTACCGGTGGGCAAGGGATAACAAGCCATGGTAAAGACGGAGAAGGTAGCGCAGAGGGCGGTACGTTTGTCATTCTGTACACAGCAAGCCTCTCCTACCAGGAAAGGAGATTTTTGTCTCCCTGATATCTTGCTTTCCTGTTTGACTGGTGTCTCTCTCGTGAGCAGCTAGTCAGCCCACAGATGCTTCTCCTGGGAACTCCAAGGCAAAAAAGGGCAAAAGTTCGAGTAGAAAAGAAGAGCCATCAAAAGGTAGCTCCAATGAAACTGGAAACGACGCGGTTGCAGATCCAGAGCTCGCTAAAATGACCAGCTCCGAAAATAGGTCCAAGAAACATAAGACCAAAGACGAGGATTCGAGTAACGCGACCGTCAAGGCAGGAGGCAGCACAGGGGAAGAAAATCTGTCATTGCAGTTGAAAAAAGATAAAAAAAAGAAACAAAAAGATAAAGGGAACGAATTGAAAGCTGAGAGTTCGAGCCAAGCGAGCTTGAAAGTAGAAGGCACCGAAGAACAGGAGCCGCCATCAACCGCTGAAAAGGCAAAGAAACAAAAGTCTAAGCACGGCAAGGACAAGGGTGAAAGCAGTCATGCTCCAAGTCAAACAAGTGAAGGGGGCGCAGACGAAGCAGCAGCAGTGAAAGCTGGTGACTCAGGCACTACGGGCGAAAAAAAGAAGAAAAAGAACAAAAGTGAGACAGAAGGTGAGCCAGCCGACGGTGAAGAAGGTGCAACAGCAAAATCTGATGCAAAAAAGAGGAAGAAAAAAACAGATGAAGAAAAAGCGCATGAAGAACTACCTTCAGGAGATAGTGTGAATGCTAAAGATGGTGGGAAAAAGAAGAAGAAGAAAGACAAGGAAGAAAGCAAAGAATCTGCTGGGACGCACGAGACTAATGAGGAGAAGGCGCCTGAAGAGCTACCAGCAGGAGATGGCGTGAACGCTACCAAAGAAGCTGGAAAGAAAAAAAAGAAGAAAGACAAGGACGAAAGCAAAGAATCTGAAGGGATGCATGAGACTGGCAACCCTGATTCAGAGAAGACAGTGGAAAAAAAGAAGGAAAAGAGCAAGACAAAAGATGCTGGCGAAAATGCTGAAGGAAAGAATGGTGACTCAGCCAACAAGGAGGAAAAGAAAAAGAAGAAAGCCAAGGAAGAGGCAAAAGACCAAGGAGAAAACGCCGGAGATTCGGCCACAGAAGCGAAAGAAAAATCGAAGCGGGCCGAAGAGAAAAAAGACGCACAACTGTCTCCTGAAAAGCAGGAGGATGAAACAGAAGCTCCAGACGCCAAAAAAAAGAAAAAAAAGGATAAGTCAGAAGCGCACGATGCAGCAACGAGCAAGCACGAAAGTGGGACAGACGAAAGCAAGTCAAAGAAGAAAAAAAAGGAGAAAGGCGAAGCTCCTGATGCAATGGACGATGGCGGAGAGAAACACAAATCCACGAGCAGCTCAGCCCCTAAGTTTTCTAGTCGTAAGTACTGCCACTCTCTGCCAAGATAAATATTCTTACACTGAACCATATTTTCAACGAAAGTGTCTATTGCCATTATGGCTTCTCTGGCTCTGCTCATATTTAGATCCTGCCTCCACAATTACCAGGAACTACGAACTAAAGCTTCCAGTGGGAGCCAAGCAAACCCAGGCAAGACTCTACACAGATTGTATATCGTGGTATCACCGAAACGTCCTAAACGCCCTCTCTCCACGTCTCGCAATGGGCACCCTTCTCGCCAGGCTCACTGTATGCAGCCAGCCTACTACGGAGGCTAAGGGTTGTGACACAAAGGCATGTGTGGACAAGCGTGTCATTTTGCTCCTTTTGTGCATGACGTACCTAGAGGCTGTCATACCAGAATCCAAAAGATGAAAGCATTGAGATTGTTATTACATCATCTGATTCTGACGTCATGACTCCCAAGTACGCCGACTCATTTCATTAGTAGGTACGTTATGTGGCGCCAAGGTAGTGCAAACACAAGCGCACTATTGATTCGAAATGACTAATTTGCGCTTGCAGGAAGCCTGAAATGACACTGGGCCCTGGCGAGAGTGTGAAGATACCCGTATCATTCCAAGAGGTCTGTAACGCAATCGTCTTGACCAGCGCACCGAGCGGGGGCTCTGCAGCAGCTAGGTGCCAGGAATAGGCAACTCCGTTTTGTATCCCGATATGCCAAGTTCTGCCTCTGTCATTTAGGTCGCTGAACCATGCGAGAAAACTGTGTACCTCTACATGTTGCAAAAAGGATCCGATCAAATAATGTACGGCGAAAAAAGAAGCCGCCTTGCTAACAATCCACCTGCTCTTGGCTAGAGTTTTGCTGACCTCAGTACTCGTTGGCAACTTAGAACCAGAGAGCTTGGATTGTGCAATAGCGCATGCACGTATCAGCAGCCTGCATGTCGTTGGTCCCAACTAGTGAGCATCCCTGGGTCCGCTGGCTCCATCTGCATGAGGACCAATGCAGGTTTTCGATTGCTTGAGCTCAGGGAGTGCGTGCAAATCGCCCTCACCTTCAACTAGACCTCGCACCTACCGTGCATGATGCACGCAAACTGAAGACTAAAAGCGGTACTGCAGGAGAAGTCGCGCAGACTCGCAAGCTCAGCCCCACTTGCTTCTGGCAGCATGAGATTCAGGCGGTACACGCCTTGCACCATTGGTCGCATGCTCCTACTGTGAGGCTAGTGTCAAATACGGCAGAGACTAAATATCAGAACGTGCTGTTCCTTTTAGTTGCGATTGACCATTCCCACACCCAACTGGAAGAAAGATTAGCCAGGGCTACATCACCTGGGCAGTTCCGACGTGAAGTAAGAGTGACTAACCAACACTGTGTTATGTCGATTGGGGATGTACGCTACAAAAGGTCTGTAATCCCCTCGCTTTGGCCTCGCAACAAAGCCAGCACCGCAGAAGCCATGCACTAGGTCGTGAAACGATGACGAAAAATGTGTCGTCGTTCGACGTTCACAAACAAAAATGATAAGCCGAAATGTTCATTGAACGGGATACACCCATGTTTCAGTTCATGGATGATTGCTCCTTCAGCTGTTTTAGGACCTGACTGGGTGTAAGAATACTTGTGCCGCCTGAGTACGCAGTAAAAGCACGTATGCGAAGTAGAACATGAACTAATTTCACTTCAGCGTACGAATTGAACGACACAGGGAAGTAAAGCTAGGAAAACTGCCTAACTAGACCCACCAATAAAGACTTCGCAGTTAAGCTCTTTCGATACTTCATACGCGCATCTCATTTCGGACTGTAAGATGCCGCCCAAAACGAAAACTACCAGGCGTTTTTTTGATTTATCAAGGGCGCTAACAGAGCTCTGCGGCTGAAAATTCCAGGCAGCGAAAATGATTTCAACAGCCATAATGCGTTGAAAGTACTGAAACATTGGAATAACACTATCTGGAGTCACTTCTACGGGAGTGCTTACCTTCTGCACAACCTCCGGTAACGCAGAATCCCAGGTCCACTCTGTCGAACGCCCAATGACGGAAGCTGCAAGAGGACAAGGATGGCAAAACATAGCAAAAAATATTTTCTTAGGAGGACTGTCCAGAGAAGTACAGTGTTAGCTCATAATGTCAAGGAAACAGGAAAAAAAGCAGTTTCCAAGCAGTTTCCATCGGGACACGGGCCACGCGGGCCACGCGCACGTTCTCGCTTTGTCCGCACTGGTTCTTCGACAGCGCTTCTCCCCCTGAACAGAAAGTGCAATGCCTCAAATCGAAGCTCGTGAAGATGAAATCACTGTAAAAATCTTGCAAGAGCCTTCTGTATGTTGGACTCCACAATACTCACGACGGCTCATCCACGAAAGGGTAGAGACCTCGGTGCAGGGTTCCCTGGATTGACTTCTGCGCTCCAAAACGCATAAGAACGGTAGGCGCTAAAAAGAAGCATCGAACTCCCGCCCTTCCAATCGAAGGTGTGCTGGTTGTGTATTGTTCCTCACTTCCATTATCTCACGGATTGCCGGCTCAAACCTTGACAAGTCGTAGCGGGCCCGCTTGGCTCGTTGTTTGAAAAACCTGACTTTGTCCCGGTCTTCCTCAAAACGATGGGCAGGCTTTGATTTCTGCATTATTGGAAAGCATGAGCAGTCGTACTACCGCACTTTAAAATGCGAATGGCTGCCTCTAGCTTGTCTTCACTCGAAGAGAATCCAAGCTCCCACACGAATGTTAAACACTTTTTGTGAGCAGACGCTGTTTGCACCACGCTACTTCCCCATGAATTCTACTGGTCATGACCTTACAGAAGCTTGCTCGCGTGACAAGGAAGCCGTGTGGAGTTCAACTGCGACACGCAAAAAGCAACCCAGAATTGATCGTGACAAGGGCGGTGGGCTTGAAAGCGTGGCACGCTCGTCACCATTTGCTGTGCAGTGTGCAGCAACATCACCCACGTTCTAGGAATTTTTGAATACAGCGTTGATTAACTAGGCTCATCTGCGCTGTTTCCATAACCTGAAGGCAAAACCCACGCAGCGAGCTGTAGCGTAAACAGTAACTACAGGAAGTTCGGAATCTTCACAATTGACTAGATCTATCTCGTGCTTGCCTTCGTCCGATCTGCAGTATCCATGCCAAGCATTTGAGTAAACTCAAGCAGAAGTAGTCGAAGCTTCTCATCAGACCTGAGACACAGAACACAGAAAACCCAAAAAACACTTTGAAGCACTTTATGTAGTAATGGTGGGCTCTGCTAGTCATGTGGCGAATACAGAAGACAAAAAACGAAAAGGCCCACCCGACTGTGCCATCAGAGACCAGTGATGCAACCGCTGCTAGTAGCTTCGTTGCACTGATTTCCTTTCCATCTTTGTCGACGCCACAGCACAGGTCCTGGAAAGTAATTTTAATATTACAAGGGCTTTTTTGTTTACGTTGTCGAACCGGTGGCAGCGTCTAGCTCTACAAGATTCTTCTGATTGCTTAGCTAGAGCCTCGTGCGGGGCTGCAAGCTTTTGCCCAAACCGGACAACGACATGCTGTTTCGCATAAAATATACCTGTTCCACGGCGCCAACAGTCATGATCTTCAGATCTTGAAGCTTATCGAAGCACTTCTCACTGAGAGTAACGTGTGTCCAATACTGGAAGAATATCACACACAAAGCAAGGAACTTAACAGAGATATCTACGTTACCTCCACCGCCGAAATCTCCAGATTTATCAAAAGGTGTCATTAAGCAGTACCCTTGACAGCGCCTCTTGGTATTGCGGAAGGGAGCGAATAGCTTTCAAGGTGTCCTCAGAGGTTGTTGCCTGAAACGGGACAGAAATCGACGCCACGGAAGATTTATTCTGGGGAAGGAAGCATGCACGTGGAACACGTATCCTCAAAGAGTCGAAGACCTGACGGGATATGCTTCGACAGTGCATTACCATATTTTGCTGCATTCTGGCTGTGCTGTTTTCCTTAAGAAATAGTTGGATTTCCTCCTGGACGCTCTGATTCACATCCTGAATGTGTTGGTGACGATAGCGAACCCACACCTCATCTTGTTCACCAAGTATGGCCTGGTCACAGTATCGCAATGCGCGCAGGTGAGTGCAACGAGAATGGCGGTGGTACTTTCCGCAGGCAAAACTACTCTTGGGATAGCACATCAACGAGGCTTTGCAAACTCCTTGGTAGCTCACCTTCTTCCTTTCGACCACGCCCATATTGTTTGTCACATCGTACCTGAGCACGCCGGCAGAGCAAACGCATCCATAGTGCGGTCCTCCCATGCTCTTCATGCTTCACACAAACGACACAACCGAATTACGCCCCACGGCCCTTTGCTAATTATGCTTTAACATCCTCGCAATGCCTGCATACTCGAACACATCCTCTAGTACTTCTGGCGTGTCGGAATGTGAAGCTTTCGATGAATTAAGACAGCAAACCGGAAGCTCCAAAACGTCATACGCTAGAGCCTGCGCAGAAGAGAAAGATGTGATTCAAAACGTGCCTCCTGCTCGACGCAAAAGTAAAAAACAATTTGCAGTACGTAGAGCTAGGGTCGTGTTTTGCTTATGGGGTATAGAGTTAAACCTTCAGACCTGGTAAGTGTACTCGTGCACAAAAAGTGGCGCCAGGTCAACCGAGCGATCCAAAATGAGAAGAATAGTGTCTCGTTCATCAGATGGCTGCGAAAGTCAATCGCGCAAGGTCGAAACACGGTAGCACTCTAGATGGGAAAAGGGGAGTGGACAAGCTATCCAAGAAGCTCAAAAGCAGACTTACCGGAATCTTTTCAGATTTTAGCCCCTTATGAACAAGTGTTGCCAGTTGCTCACACCATGGAAGCTGGTTTCTATGATACCGAATTGCAGGTTTTTGGCCCATTGTTACGCACAGGGACACCAGCTGAATAAGCGCACAAACATATGTCAAAATGCACTCGGATTCACTCGCAGAGCCGCTAACAACTCATCTTGACAGACAGCGATACGAATTTCAGGGAAATATTCTTACATCATCAGCAATCTTCTGTA